CCTAATGGTCTTTTAATTTTCAGTTTCTGCTGCTATTATAGTAGCCACAATTAAAACTTTCTTTTTTTTTAGTAGTTTGTAAATTTATTGTGCTATGGTAAAACTTTCTTGATAGTCATCTGAATTTACTTCTAATATACAATTCACATAAGTAACGTAAATATCTTTAATTTTACTATTTTGTGCTGGAAAAGATTCAATGTAATTTTAGTGAATCATTATCCTTATTGATTTTGTGCAACACCAGTAATGACAAAATATTTAGGATGTAGAGTTAGTAGATATAGATTAAAACTGTGTGACTGTGTGATTTTGGACATATACTTCCATTGGTTTTCATGTGCAATAGAAAGAAACACTATTAAACTCCTGTTTAATAGACCTTTAAAATAGTTAACATGAAGGTAATTTTCAAGCGCTCAAGCTCTATAGAAGAAGTTATGGAAAATCAGTCTTACAATGTGCTGGCCTGTGTTATTTAATGGCAATGGATGATCATTGTAAAATGTGTAGTAGTGACCCACACTTGTTCACTTTCCCTGTCTTATGAATAGGCTGGTTCTAATTGTATGTTGGCTGGTAGGAATGAATGTTTGCACAGAAACAAACAAATTTTGGCCCCTGGCCTATTCACAAAAGACTTACATGATCATTGAAATGTATTGAACATCCACTAATTGCCAAATAATTTATTAAACATGCTCCATTTATTATTTCATGTATTGCACATAAAACCTTATATGTGATAATCAGTACAATTATTACCACTTCCATTTTATGGATGAAAAAAGGAGCTAATATGTGGCTAATTTGGGATTCCTATATGAATGATCCAAATCCAAAGCCCACTAGGTTTCCTTTCTATAAACAATACCTGAGTTTCTAAACAAATGTCTGTTACATTTTCTTTGGTTAATAAAGCATAAGGGGAATATTTTTAGAAATATCTGAGTTTCTAAAACAAATGTCTATTATTTTTTCCTTAGCTAATAAAGTATAAGGGGTATATTTTTAGAAAAGCCTTAAAACCGTAAAAATTCATTGAAAACCTCCCATTTGCCTCACATAATGAAAATAATTACAGAATAATGAAAGAAATCAGTTTGTATTGACATTCTTTCCCATAGTTTTAATTCTTGTTTCCTATTAAGTGTAATTTATTTCTCTGCAGTACTTACCAAAATCTCAATTTTCCCCTCAAATTATTCCTGGAATGAAGGCAAAATTGAGTTTTATTTGTGAAACATCCTCATAACAATTTGTCTCAGGTAAATTAATACACATGGATTCAAATTAATCTCATTAGTGTAAGTCCTAAAATCAAATACATGGATACAAAGCATATTTATACTATTTTTGACTGATCAAAACCAAACTTACATGCTCCAGTTTGCCTATGTGACTGAGGTGTAAGGAGAGGAGCTCTGTAAACTATCTAGTTGCCATATATCACTGATATTTAATACCCCATAAGATATATTCAACATTCAGTATAATTTTTATGAGATGGACAACTGAGCACAGTTTAAACTAAATACCAGTAGAGAAAAAACTAGAGGTTTATATACAAATTTATCACTGCAAACATTTTTAGCTAAAAAGTAAATCCAAAGTGCATTAGAGGGTAAGATTTCTCCTACAATAATAATAAAAATGAAGTATAAAAACTTTCCTATTAGCCAATGGAGTTTTGTTGATTTCATTATCACAAAGATAATGTGATGTGTTCCCCATATCCATATGTTCTTTTATTTTCCTTACCCATGCTGGCTTCATATTTATATTAATTGTATTCTATTATTTCTTCGATTTTATGTGAAGACCATATATCTTCAAAACTATGTACCATTTTAAAAGTAGATAAAATTAAGGTGCAAAAGCTATCCAGATACTTGGAGTTGCATAACTGCTATTACTGAAAGAATTTAGGAAGTAATAATTGTCCATGTGAGTAAATAGGAAAAAGACAGAGGTAGTTGGTTAGCATACAGACCTTATCTTGTATTTCTTGGAAATTTTTATTTCTATGCAGTTGTATCAGAATATTTTCAATATTAAATGAGGACATTTCTAAAAATAACAATGTAACATAGAACTTTCAAAGAAAAAGAGTATGTTCCTCAGAAATGATACATGTTTATACTTCACTCAAGGAATTAAAAAACAGATAGAGGTTTTAAAAAATATTGTGTACTATTTGCTCTCTTAAATGTACACTCTAAAATTCTGATTAAGTCCAGAACTAAGATGTACCACAAACTTGACTTTGTGTGTGTCTTCCATTAATACTCCTGCAAAGGTATAATTTAGTTCAAGAGTTAAAAGCTTCTCTAAAGCATAAACATAGATAAGGAATGAAGCGAATGTTATTGGAATATATGTGTATTTTGAAAAGCTGAAGCCATAGTCATTATCTCTCTAAAAGTAGAATTATTTTTTCAAGACCCAGTCAGTCATATATAAAGTCATATACATTTGTTTAGTGAATACCTATTTTGATCCTTTAAAAATTATTGTGCTAATTTCCCTACAAAGGTCTGAAACAATCCTCAAAAATGGTTACCATTACAATTTAAACCTATAGATAAAATTGATATAAAGTGCTATAATGGTTCAAAGTTAGAAATACACAATATAAGTTAGAAATATATAATAATGTTATTAACTAAAGTTCAGTTAGTTTTCTGCTTTTCAAATAATTTCTCCACATTAATATAAAGCAATAAATGATTCTTTTTGTATTTTTATTGGTTTAAATTTTTTACAGAAATTTATTTCTGTTACTCATGGAAACAATAATTTAACATGTACATGTGAATGTTAACGCCAGTTAAACCTTAACATGTTATTAGGAATCACCAGAGTAAAGCACAGAAACCCAGGCCACTCAATTATGACAAAGCCATAATTTCCTTCATTTTTCTGTCTTTTCAATTTCCTTCAAAGTGAATGATGCTTTATATATACTAAAAAGATGAATATTTTAACTTACAGATTAGTGATTTATTGTGTGCTAAAGTATATTAGAAAAAAGATCTAAGACTCTATGCATTGATTTTATGATGCTACAGGGAAATATCTACAAAAATAAATTAACTTTATGGCAAAAACATGCATTGATACTCTGACATGTATTTTAAAAAGCTAATTTTATTACATAATAATATGATTCTTATTTCAACCTTTCAGTTATTTACTCAAATAATGGCTTTGCATAATAACTCTCAATATTCATTGTCTAACTTTTTTTTTGAAATAAAGATTATAAACCATAGTATCAATACAGACATGAATATTTAAATTATGCAAAAAATTATGTGGTTGGGAAAGTAATTAAATAAAAATTTTAAAAGTTTGGGAAGTTATTCATTATAAAATATGTTGATAAAATACCTCTTTTTAAGAAAATAATCTGACTTAAAAATGCGGTTCTTAATATTTGTTAGTAACCCATTGCTTTGGTTTTTTAATGTTGGTTCTACTTCCTCCTCAATTGTCTAATGACTACAAAGCCATAGTCTCAAAACACTTCTCCCATTTCTACACGCCAGAGAATGCAGTACTGAAATTCAAGATTGAATAATGCAGCCAGTCACAATACCTTGAAAGAATCACAGGTGTAAAAATTAATTAAAGCTTCCATTATGTTGGGAAATTTGTGGGAACACTGAGCCCCAAATCACAGAGTTCCTGAGGAAGAGTTTGTAGTCTGTTGCTAGTGTATTGGTCTTTGGGTGCTTAAACTCAGGATGGGGCGAGAGGGAGGGTGGAGGGGAGGGGGTGGGGGCGGAATGACCCAAACAATGTATGCACATGTGAATAAATGAATAAAAAAATTAAAAATAAATAAATAAAACAATAATAATAAAAAAGCTCAGGATGCTCCCATTGAAAGACAAATTGCAGAGCACAATTTCATGAAGGAAAGAAACCATCATTTAATAATTACGCCAATCAAATATTTTGAATCCAAATCTGACATCTTACTTTCTTTAGCAGCAAATTTGTGACGTCTCTATATCTACAACTTGCTAAATATTAGATATTAGTTCCCTAAATTGTTTAGGATGATCTGTGATGCTGGAAAGAGCATTAACAGATGTCTCATCTCAACCTTTCAGTAGGTTTTATCCTGGAAATTCTAACTTTTAATACATAATTTAATTTCTCTGTTTAATGACCTAATATGCTCACTTGGGGAAACTCTTATGATCCTTTATCCACAGATATCTTGACATTATACCTTCTCTTGGAAGCTTGTAGAGGGTTACTTGTCAAGTAGAAGTAACACATTCTTTTAGCTTGAGAGTTAAAAAAAGTAAGAAATAATACAGAAACCTCTACCTTTTTTGAACTCTAAGGTTTTTTTGTTTTTTTTTTAATCCACCCCATGTCCAAACACAATGGAAACAATTCAGTGTTAGCACAAAAAGATATTTAATCACATCTGGCAACAACAAACAATGAAGATTCCATTAATTGGCTCAATAGATATTTGTGGAAATAGAAGTGAAAGGCAAGTAGGAGGCAAATATAATAAATAGAAATTGATTACGTTCTTTTAACTATGCATTCTGTTCAACCACAGAGTGAGACTCCGAGACCCTACAAGTAGTTTTTCTTTCACCTCTTTCTTACACAATCTTCTTGATTACGTGAAAAGTTTAAAGACCCTTCCTTGGAAAAAATGTTTTCCAGCTGTCAAGACTCAAGCTTAGCTAACAGTAGAGATAATTTTAAAAGGCATTGTTCCCTGATAAGATTTTTTTCAGAAATTGCCTTTTAATCCATTTAGATTTTTATTACTTGGCAAATTTGTAGAATATCACTGTAAATCATATTATTCAGTAGTAATAGATTTTGTATGTACTTTGGGCTAAAATACTGTAGTTACTCTACATTATTTCAATCCACTTACTAAATTCTTCTTAGAATTATTGTCAAACTACATGAAAATACTACTGAGAATAAATATACTTATTTTTGAATAATGCACTTACCCTGTACAGTTCCTAAGGAAATCCTTGGTGAAATAAGCCCAGGATGAAATTTGATTTTCTGAGATTCCGCAGGAAGATTTATCCCCCCAGGCAAGGTGGGGAAGAGGCAAAGCCTTGCAATGTGATCCTGCAGGCAGAGTGAACTCCACTTAGCAGAGCTTAAAGGTCCTAAGGCAGGAGGTGACACTCTGCTGGAGAGAGGAGTTCTGAGTAGATTGAAAGTGTTGTCAGATTGTAAGTGATCAGCAGCAGAAGGGAAACATCAGAGCTTCCTGTTACATCACTGACCCCGCCTGCAGTTAGTGTTAGGTTACTTTCTGTCTCAAATAGCATATCCCAGGAAAGGAGCAGCACTCCTTTCTCATTCTGAGACAAGAGCAAGAAACAGCCTGAACAGACAGAGATCATATGCTCCATGAATACATTGTTACCAGCAAAAGCTGGCTGCCTTTCACCTTGACTGTGTTCTGTTAGAACTTGCCAGACAGAACTGCCTGTGATTGAAGGAAATCTGAACATAAAAAGAATCAAAGAAGTTAAGGGTGTGTGTGTTGTGTGTGTGTGTATGTGGGGTTTTGTGGTATGTATGTGTGGTATGTAAGTTTGCATGCTGAATTAAGAGTTTACAAAGCATCCAGGAAAATCTATTTAACATCTTTCTTCATAAATGAGCATGGAAAAAAGCCTTCATTCATCATTAATTGGAAGCTGTGAAAAGCAGATCCTACTCCTTGATCAATTTTCCACAATTAGATTAAGAAAATTTATCTTGTAGTCTTTAAACTTTGTTTTCACTTTGTTCATGACATGTGTGTATGTGCAAAATAAGACATATAATATACTTAATTGTTTAAAGAAAGTTTTACCTTAAAACATAACCTGTCCCAAATATGTTTTAAAAATCATTGAATATGATCAGGTAAAAAACACTGTAAATTTGAAATGCACATAACATTTTTTATAATATGGTAAAGCGTTAGATGCAATGATAATTATAACTGCTGAAACCCAAGTGACATGAAATATTATGTACTATGGCATCAATTTTTCTCATCTATAAATTAGAAAAAAATTGGTAAAATAATATGTAAAATCTTTTATATCTCTAAAACTTTGTCTCAACAAATTTCACAACATTTAGAAATAGATGCTATGATAGTCATTCAAATCTTACTGAATTGAGAGCAGAGACACAGAGGAACATGTTAGTCACTGCAAGAAAGGAACAAAATGAAGTGACCAGATTCCTTGTAGACTGACAATGGAAGTAAAGACTGCATGAATTAAAGGACATCATTTTTCTGAATGAGTGTGTTATTCACATTCACATTTTTATTACCTGAATCCAGGAAAGAAAATTATTGCAGAATATTTTGTCTTCATGTCAATGTGATCAGTGTTACATCTTCACACCTCCCATGCTAAGGCTAGTATTTGAACTCTACAAAGAGACTGATGTGTGGTTTTTGAATTTGTCATAAAAAAGTACAAATTTTTCTAGTATGTTTGTAAAGGCATTGATATTTTTCATTCTTTCATCTCATTTGCTAAACAATAGCAAAGTTTAGTGCATGAAAAGACTCCATGCTTTAAGCTTAGGTCATAAGACTTTTTTTTTTTATTTCTTTTGTTCATATGTGCATACAATGTTTGGGTAATTTTTCCCCCTTCCCCCTGCCCCCTCCCTCTGCCCCCCACCCCCTCATTTCCAAGCAGAAGCTGTTTTGTCCTTATCTCTAATTTTGTTGAAGAGAGAGTATAAACATTAATAAGGAGGACCAAGGGTTTTTGTTAGTAGAGATAAGGATAGCCATACAGGGAAGACTCTTACATCAATGCTTTTTTTCCTCTATTATTTACCTAGTGCCTTTCTAAATAGAAAGTCTAATAGAAATTACAGTATTTATACTTAAGTTATTGGTTAGGCACATAAGCCTAAGAGTGTAGTCCATGAAGAATCTTGGGTAATTTTTTAATCAGTATCATCCATATGGTTTCCTTAAAAATAACAGGAAACTTGCATGTCAATAATCAGGTCATTGAGAGTTGCCATTTTATAAACTTCAGACAAAATAAATGCTATAAAGACTTCCAGAAAGCCAATTTGAGTTTTACCAAGTTATCTAAAGGCAATAAAAAAGATAAATGATGAAAACTTCTCTAATACATGCTAAAATATATTAGCAAATATTTGCAAAACTTTAACAGAAATAAGTAAAAATATTTTTGGAAAACAATTAGCTGTTCTGAGCCAATGTGTCATTATTTAACTACATAAATTCAGCCTTATGTATTATAACATTTGTATTTAAATGTTACAGTCTCTCCCCAGAACATACTGAAGCTACTTGTAACAACTCAACACACAGTGATAAAGTCTGCATTTTGAGATAGACAATGTACTTGTTGTGTTTTAGGGAGTTAAGAAAAATAAGATGCATCCTGCTATTTAGTCTTTTATAGCAAGTTGACTGGCATGTAAGGAATGAAGTGGCAAATTCTCTGCAATTAGCAACTGATGCTGCCAACATAGTCTAGATGTAACCACACAGAGCACTGTCAATAAGGTTTTCTGTGAGAGTGAAGAATGGTGCACAAAGGAAGAATGATATTCACAATAAACAATCATGCTTGTTTGTTCATTTCAGAACCACACACTCAGGATCTATGCCCACCATTGCACTGCTATATAGGGCTCACAAGTGCCAAGGTCCTCAATAATGAGTACAGGTTATCTTGCAAAATGCAGCTTGTCTCACAATCAGGAGGGTGCTAAAGCAAAGTCTTGAGAGTATTGCTCAGATTAACTAAATTAGTCAAATCAGATAACAAATATGATTTGGCAAATTTACTTTCTTACTGACTAAACTGGCCACTTAATTTTGAATTTGTGTACCTTGTATCATATTTCTGCAAAAACAAGCAAAAAAAATTATGTGAAACATGTTATATATGGATGATCCATATGTAACAATAAGGATCTGATGCAAAAATAAGGGTCCCAGAATGCCAAAATAAGGGTTCAATTCAAAACTAAGGGCCCAAGAATGCAAAAATAAGGGCCAATGAAAGGATTTTTAGAATAATTTTTATGGGTCAGGCATGGTGGTATGTGTCTGTAATCCCAGCGACTCAGGGGGCAGAGGTATGGTGACAGCAATCCAAAGCCTGCCCTGGGCAAAAGCTTGAGATCCTATCTGAAAAACAAAAACACAAAAAACTGAAACAACAGAGCTTGGATTCGATCCCCAGTACTGCCAAAACATTTTTTTACAAAGGTTTTCAGTTATTGTATTCTGAGGTAATATTTTTGTGTTCTTAATAATCTTAAATTCGTTACTTATACTTGAGATAATTTATGAAATCAGCAAAATTATGTATACCAGGTCTTATTAAGAATTCACTGGTAATTTGAGAAGAAATATACAATTCTTATAATATCTATATTAAATATATTTTACATTTTAAAACCTGTTGAAATCACTATAAGAAGGGGGTTAAGGTAGAAAGGAGAAAAAGAGAGGGGATGAACCAATTTGGGTTGTAATAATATATGCGTGGAAATATCACAATGAAACACCCTGTGTTCCTATCTTAAACAAACAAAAATGTCATTTTCTTTTACAAAAATGGAGAACAGGAAGGTAAAACAGGTCCTGTCTGGGGAGTTGGTACCAGTAGGAAGGGGGAAGTTGTGAGGAAAGGGTGTAGGAGGGTGAACATAGTAAAAACACTGTGTATTCATGTATGTAAATGGAAAAATGATACCCGTTGAAACTATTTCAGGAATGGGTAAGGGGAGATATGGAAGGAGTGAATTCAACTCCTATATATTGTGAGTACTTTTGTAATTGTCACAATATAACCCCAGCATAACAATAATAATAATTAAAAAATCATTCTAGCAAGGCCAGAAGTTGATCTGGCATTTTATTATTTTACTTAATAATTGATGTTGGAATTTTGTCCAAAGCAAAGCAATGTGAATTGGATTTGGTAAAAGAATCTATATCCAATGCTGGATATTGAAAGTGTATATGCTATTGTCTCAACTCAAACTGAAGGGCTAATTTTCACTGTAATTGTGCAAATAATTTATCATTCTAAGGGAAATAATTGTGTTGTTTTAAAAGAATTGGCTATGAATAAGAATTTGAAAAGTGAAGAAAACTAAATATGAAATGAATAATCAGTTTAACTCATCCATATACAAATAAACAAAGCTGTTTCACTGTCTTTATTCAGTATTTTTGTAATGATTCCTTGGGAGAGTCAAATTACATTAAAATGAATTGGCCAAATATTTGCCTATTTTTAAGAAACTAATTCTAGTTAATTTCTGGTGGCTTTGGATCTTCCAGGGAACTCAGTATTGCGTTTTCGATATCCCTGAGTGTTTGAAGGGCTACTATTGGTAGAAAAAAGAGCTACTACTACCAAATAAGATATGTAATAAATTAAAAATGAAATTTAAAGTGCAATCCTGTTATAAAAGCTTATTTCACATAAGGTACAAAATGAACTTTCTGAGAATAAACAGCCTTTGGTAGGGTAATATGTTTCAGTTTCTTGGGGAAGCTCCAGATTGTATTTTCATGTTCAAAAGTGTGGATTTGGATGAAAAATTATACATGGCCATCCTAGCCATATGAATTCATACTGACAAGTGGTAAATGAATACTAAATCGCTGAGTAGTTCACTTGGGAAACATTAATATTTTCTCTTAGAAGAGTTTAAAGTAATTCTTCCTAGATCTAGAGTAGTTTAGTTCACATTGGAAAAGATGCTTTTTTTTATGTCTAGACATAAATTTACTGAATTTATTTGGAAATACTTATTTGTTGAATATTTCATTTGTAAAAGTAAAAGATTTCTTTAACTTTGCATTTAGTATCTTGACCTAAGTAACATTTGATCAAATGACCAAGTCTTATTTTTAATAATCTGATCATTTAGTTTAAATGATGCTAAAGAGTATTAACATTTTTTTCCGATACTAAAATACAATTTTATTCAACTATTGTCATATTACTTATATAAGTTCTGAAACTATTAACAATTTGTATTTCCTTATTTTCTTCAAACACTCATTCTTATTCAACATCACTCAGTGTATACAGTTCAAGTTTTTAAATATAAAAGAATGTGAAACTATGTATAATGCAATTAAAGAATGCTTAAGACCTT